TATTATTATTAGTATTACTATTATTATTATTATTATTATTATTATTATTGTTGTTGTTGTTGTTGTTGTTGTTGTTGTTGTTGTTGTTGTTGTTGTTGTTGTTGTTGTTGTTGTTGTTGTTGTTGTTGTTGTTGTTGTTGTTGTTGTTGTTGTTGTTGTTGTTGTTGTTGTTGTTGTTGTTGTTGTTGTTGTTGTTGTTGTTGTTGTTGTTGTTGTTGTTGTTGTTGTTGTTGTTGTTGTTGTTGTTGTTGTTGTTGTTGTTGTTGTCATCTATAATTTATACACTTAACCTCCTTGTGGTTCGACCCCGGTCTTGCCGGGTTATTTTTTACTTCGACACTCCTGCACTTGGGAGAAGACATCAATCTTTTAGTCGTGTCATAGCGCTTCATTTGTTCGCAGCCAGGATCCAATGCTATTTTTGGATTTTGCCTTGCTAGACCCAAAGCTAGTCCTAGGCCATGCCTGGCAGTGCCTAGGCCAAAGCATCTTATGATGCTTGGACTGCAACGCTTAAGCTGTCCGTCCTCAGGAAGGAATCCAAGTACTACATGTCCCAATGTGATTTTTTTTCACAGTAATAGTAATTTTTTAAAATTTATTAATGATGCTAATAATATTTATACTCTTATAAATTTTAATGACAATACCAAAATAAAAATAATATTAATTACACTAAAAAATAATATTAATAGAAAAAATAATAATAGTTTTGAGATCAACACTATTAATTGGACTAAAATAATAATAATATTTTTAATATCAATACTATCAATTATACTAAAAAATATATTAAGAAATAATATAATAATTCTTTTCATATTAATTATACTAAAAAAATAATATCAACAAAACAAACAATAATATCTTTACCATTAATACTCTAAATATTAATTATACTAAAAAAATAATATTTTTAATACAATTATATTAAAAATATAGGCATCCTAAGCGCCATAAGGCACTTGGACTGCACCCAAGAGAAAAGAAACCAAACACCATGCGGTGTTTAGGCGGCTTACCTGTGGGCATATGATAGAGCTTGGTTTGCTTGCGGGCAGGACCCAATGCTATTTTGGGTCCTACTTTGCTAGGCCTAAGGCCAAGCCAAAGCGCCTCTAGATGTTTGGATTGTAGCGTAGAGGAAGCATGCCAAGTGTCACATGGTGCTTGAGTTGTCCACCCTCACGAGGGAACCCAAGTGTCCCATGTCCCAACGCGGTTTTGTTTTATATAGTAATAATGATTTTTTAAAATTTTTTAATGATGATAATAATATTTATACTCTTATAAATTTTAATGAAAATACTAAAAATTTTATAATACAAGTAATAATATTTTTAGTAGCAATAATATGAATTATTATAAAAAATAATATTATTTATAACACCAAATATAATAATATTTTAGAGATTAATACTATTAATTATACTAAAAAAATTATATTAATAGAAAAAATAATAATAGTTTTGAGATCAACACTATTAATTAGACTAAAATAATGATAATATTTTTAATACCACTACTATCAATTTTACAAAAAAAAATATATTAAGAAAAAATAGAATAATTCTTTCAATAGTAATTATACTAAAAAATAATATTAAGAAAACTAATAATAATTTTTTTAATAATAATATTTGTAATTATACTAAAAGTATAGGCAGTTCAAGCGCCATGTGCCGCTTCGCCTGTAACCAAGAGGAAGCAGACTAAGCGTCAGCTAGCATTGTTGACCTGGCATGGTGCAAACAAAGTGTTGTGTGGTGCTTTATCTGCCCGCGTCCAGGACTTAATGTTATTTTAGGTACTGCCCTACCAGGCTTAAGATTAGCGTTGGGCCATGTCTGGCAAGATCCAAGCCAAAGCACCACCTAGTGCTTGGATTGCAACACAAAGGAAGCAAGCTAAGCACCACGTGGCGCCTAGGCTATCTACCCTTAGGAGTGAACCCAAATGCAATGTGTCCTAACATGGTTTTTTTTTATAGTAATAACGATTTTTTTAAATTTAATAATAATAATAATAATAATATTTATACTCTTATAAAGTTTAATGGAAATAATAATATTTAAAATATAAATAATAATATTTTTAATAGTAATAACATGAATTATTATAAAAATATTTAGGTCTTGCCCTGTCTAGTCTAAAGCTAGCCTTGAATCATGCCTAGGAGGACCTAATCCAAAATGCCACTTAGTATTTGTACTGCATCATAGAGGAAGCAGGCCAAGCACCACATGGCGCTTAGGTTGTCTGCCATTATGAGGGAACTCATGAGACACGTGTTCTAAGGTGGGTTTTTCATAATAATAATTATTTTTTAAAATTTATTAATGATGATAATAATATTTATACTTTGATAAATTTTAATAAAAATACTAAATTTTTTATAATATAAATAATAATATTTTTAGTAGTAAAAATATGAATTATTATAAAAATAATATTATTTATAACACCAAATATAATAATATTTTAGAGATTAATACTATTAATTATACTAAAACATTATATTAATAGAAATAATAATAATAATTTTGAGATCGACACTATTAATTAGACTAAAATAATAATAATATTTTTAACACCAATACTATCAATTATACCAAAAAAATATATTAAGAAAAAATATAATAATTCTTTTAATAGTAATTATACTAAAAAAACTAATATCAACGAAACAAACAATAATATTTTTACTATTAATACTCTAAAAACTAATTATACTAATTATACTAAAAGTATAGGTAGCCCAAGTATCACGTGGTATTTGACGTGCACCCAAACAGAAAGAGACCAGGCGTCAAGTGGCTTTGTGCTGCCTTCTTGGAGTGGTGTAGACAAAGCGCCATGTGGTGCTTGGTCTACCTGCGACCAGGATCTAATGGTATTTTGGATCTTGCTCTATTAGGCCTAAGGCTAGCCTTGGGTCATGCCTAGCAATGCCCAAGCCAAAGCGTTACTTGACCCTTGGATTGCAACGCAGATGAAGTATGTCAAGTGCCACATGTCCGAACATGATTTTTTTCATAGTAATGACAGTTCTTTAAAATTTATTAATGATGATAATAATATTTATACTCTTATAAATTTGAATGAAAATAATAATATTTATAATACAAATAATAATATTTTTAGTAGCAACAATATGAATTATTATAAAAATAATATTATTTATAACACCAAATATAATAATATTTTAGAGATTAATACTAGTAATTATACTTAAAAAATAATATTAATAAAAAAAATAATAAAAGTTTTGATATCAATATTATTAATTAGACTAAAATAATAATAATATTTTTAATACCAATACTATCAATTATACTAAACAAATATATTAAGAAATAATATAATAATACTTTTAATATTAATTATACTAAAAAAATAATATTAACAAAAAAACAATAATATTTTTACCACTAATATTGTAAACATTAATTAATCTAAAAAAATATTTAATACAATTATACTAAAAATATAAGCAGCTTAAAAGCCATATGACGCTTGGACTGCACCTAAAAAAAAAAAAATCAAGTGTCACGTGATGTTTAGACGACCTGTTCGTCGACGTGGTAACCAAAGCGCTACATGCACTTTTGGTCTTCCCTAGCGCCCAAGGCTAGGCAGATCAAATACCAGGTGGCAATGCGCCTAGCGCTTTGGTCTGCCCCCAGCCTTAAGGTCGGGCAGACCGAGCGCTAGGGGGCAGCAACCCCAGGTAGCTTGTCTTTAGGCTGTGTCCTTGCAACCAAACCTATATCAAATAGTATAGTGCATAGTGAAAGCACTCACAGTCCATGGGGAAAGCACTCACAACGCATAAACAGTAGAACACAATGCAATCTTAAATATTTTTTTAAAAATTATTCTTATATAAATATTCCTTTTTAACTTTTTGGGTTTTTGCCTACTATTTTTTTTGTTTTTTTTTAGGATTCCAAAATTATATTGTTTGGCATAAATTTTTTGTTAATTAAAGGAAAATACCAAATACATGGTAAAGGAAAAGTAAAAATTATATTATTGATAACCCAATTAACAATAACTAAGAGGACTCAATTAGGTGAGGAGTTTGTTCGTGGTGATTTTTTTTATTGTAATTAATTTCATATAATGTAAGTAAATTTCAATTAATTTGTTTTTATTTCTTTCCTATTAATCATATACCTTTTCTTTTATCAAGTTAGTAATTTATTTTTTCCTTCTAAAATCTTTGTGCAGGCCATATGTGCTTTTAACATAGTTTTTTTAACTATTCTTGAGGGTCTTAAATATTCTTAGCTTCAAATGCAAGGCTTGAAATTGGGAATGCAAAGTAATATTGGGGGCAAAATTGTTCGACCAATTTGGGTATAAAGGGTTCTTCGCAACTATTACAGCTTACATAGTTAAAGCAACAAAAACTAAAATATAAAATAAATTTGTGTATTTATGGTAATCTTAGAGTGATGTATTTACAAGTTGGTGCCAAGATTTCAGAGAAATGAAGGGATTTTTAACAAAATAAAATTCCCCGCAATTACATCTTTCTTTACCCTCTTTATAATTAAGTTGTTCACTTTGCCAGCCTTGGGAGTGAAGACCCTCTCAAATCACCTTCTTGCTGCAGCGAAAACATTCAAAATGCTACAAGGGGAACCATTTCTCATCAGGTGTTGTGCATCATAGACTCTGCAAAGGTACTTCAGGCAGGTAAGGTTAAAGCCAGCTATACTGTGGATAAATCATAGGAAGAAGATGTTCTAAACTGTTTTCCTTGTCCAATATCTGATGAGTAGCCTATACACAATCGACGTTATATTTCAGTTCATTAATTTATGAAATAAAATCCTTGCATTGCATAGAAAATGCGGTCTTCAACTCCAGGAGAAATTCGGAAAGGAGCTGCAACAATATGCGAGGAAGACAATGCTCAGCATGGCTGTCAGAGTGGCAAACTCTCCATCATTCAACTCATCTGACAAATATTTTTATCAGAGAATGTGCAGCAGTGTTTGATGCGTTATTCAGTGATACATTATTGGTTCTCGAGAACGAACTACCACGAAAGACTTGCAAGCCGTTTACATCTTACTAGAAATAAGAAGGTACTTGGTATGACGCCCTTGAGCAATAATTGCCCCACTCTTTTTCTTCCTGAAATCAACACTCGCAGATCCAACAGCTTTGCCTGCACGTAGAACCCTGGCTTCAATCTCGATTTCTTCCTGAATGAACAGAAACAGAAAACTTCGTAAGACTGGCAAGTCAAACGTTGTTTACGATTCAGTAATTTTTACATGTACGATGGAACATCCACACATATACACAGCTGCTATGATGAATGGAATCAACACAACATATCAGCATTGAGATTTCCCTTACTCCATCTTGACCAAAACTTCTTGCTCGTCAACAAATAGAAAGGACCTAATAGTTCATCTAATCAAATAAATAAAACGTTGCACAAAAAACTTCAATACAATTTCCAACTTCAACTTATCATACTCCAAAGTGAGTTGACAGTGACAGAAATCATGTGATGGCAGCTGCAATTAAACGTAAGCAACCTCAAAACTTAGAAATCTACTACGGCTTGCTACATCTAAGTTTGATAGCGTTTCAGATAAAATTGATAGCAATATGAATCAAATTCTTCATCAATTAGGCCTAGCATGGACACCGTTACCAAAAGAAACAACAGACATAGGTAAGTCAACATGTTTATCCATAATAAAATGCATTTAACAATTCTTTGATTTGAAAAAGATTTCCTTATCCACTCTGTTAAATATTCAAGAAATTATGGTTGGAATTGTGCTATCAATTGTATTGAAGAAATAAAATTAACACAAAGAAACGATTATCGAAAAATAGCGAGGAGGGAATGATACCCACATCAGCATAAGCAGCATCCAAGTATGAAACATTAATTTCCACAGAAACTCCTGTTAAGAACACTCCTGCTGCGACCAGTGCAGCTGACCCTACCACATCAACCAGCATTGCTATAGCCCCAGCATGCAAGCAATCGCTGCCGTTCTTCACAATAAGCCATCAAGAAAAACCCCAATAATCAGCAACACCCTTTAAAACCAAAATGATAAAACCATTGTTTGGCTTAAAATTATGGAACAAATTTACGAACTGTTTAGTATTTTATCTCAAAACAAGAATATAAAGAAAATTACTTAAAAAAAAATCCTACCTAAAGAGCAGACATAAAAAAAAATCTCAACTTTCTCTTGGTCATCATGAGTTGTCTGAACGACCAAACTAAATGGAGGGTAATCTAACCATTTCTCTAATTTGCCTTAGTTCTGTTGTCAAAACCAATCAAGGGAAAACAATAGTCCGCCGTGGAAGTTGTCCCAAGAATCAAAAGGAGTCATCTTGAGATCCTTGATTATGCATTTCAATAGGTTGATAGCAATAAAGCACCGAGTTTGGGGTTTGAAGTGGTTACCAGAAGACGAGGAGGGACTTTCATGGAGCAAACAACACGCCCAGGTTCGATGAGATCAATATGAAGGCCTTCCATTACGAAACTTTCAAAGAATCGCATTTCTTCAATTTTTGATGCTCTCTTGTCATCTTCATGTCCTCCTTTCTCTATGTATCTCCTCACAGATTCCAAATCCATTTCGTCTATTCTCCTTCTAACAGATCTGATCCTTACCTGTAAATGAGTTTACGTTTTGGGGAAGAGACCGTGTGTTTGGGGATGGGATGGTAGATACAAAATTTCATCTTAAGCACAGCCACACCTCATTAAAAGTTACAAATATATGTTTTTTTTTTATATCTATCTCACCAAAAAAATCTCCAATTCACTTCATTATACTTCCAAAAACATGAAAAGGTAACGTTTATATATATATATATATATTAGAGAATGCTATTAGAGATCAATAGGATTTGCAATTGAATTTAATATTAAGGCGATAAAAAAGATATTTAAATATTTAATGTATATCTTACACTATAAACTATATTATACTAGTTAGTTACCTATTAGTACTATAAAAATATAATAATTTTAATTAGAAATTTGACATTAATGATTCAAAATCCATAAATTAATATATTATCATACTTGGTGAAGTAATTGTATTATAGAAATTCTCTAAGTAAATATATATTATAAGATTTATAATAAAATAAAAGTTTATTACTTTAGATAATGCCAGAGAAAAAGCTAAATGAATTTAAAATTTTTTAGAGAATATTCCATGCTAGCTAAAAATATGTATAATAGTAAGCCTAGACATATACATTATAGATATAATATCATTAAATATTAGCTCTTAAATAGAATTGTTTCAATTGACTAAAGTCAAATAAAATATTATGGATCTATTAACTAAAGATTTATTATGAGAGCATGTGTACAATTCATTAAGGAGAATGAACTTAAAGCTTATAAAGTTAAAATATTATAATGATGGTAATCACACCTAGTTGATTGGAGATTCCAAAATCTATATTAAAATGTAAAACTAAGTTATATAATATTTTTAATGGCTCTAGAAAATTATTATTTTCTATCTATTGCTATGATGAAATAAGTATTAGATTTAGCATGATAAATAGTGAGTTATTTTCTTAATGATTTTCTTATCTTGGTACACTAAGTAGAGCATAACAAAATACTCTTAATAAAATATTATCTATAATAAATATTAATTGATTTTTTTATTTTTCAAAGTATGATAAAATGCAATTTTTATTTTTTTATAAAATATTCATGAAAATTTTTAAAATTTGGTTGTATGCACACAAATAAAAATGTATTTTATTTATATTTATTATATAAGAAATTTTGGATTTTTTGTGATTTTTAATGAAATTTTAAAGAAAAACAGGTATATTTAATACTAGGTTAGTATCTTATAATATAAATTTACAGCTCAAATATTAAATGAAATGGTTGAAAAACATGAAAGGGACTAACAAATAATTTTAAAACAGTCCTTGAATTATTTTTAGAATTCTTGGAAATCATTTGGGGTTTGTTTGATAATAAATCAAAAATATAAAGAAGAAAAATGGAAATTAAGGACTAAGAGTGTATTTGCTAAACATTGCATAAGAAAAGAAAAATGGTTTTTTTCTTAAAAAATTAGGACAGTTTAAACAAGACTTTAAAGTTTTATGGATCAGCTAAATCATTTGAGCTAAGCTTGGTGGGTTTAACCCACAAACAAGAAAACAAGGACCTAAACTAATGAAAATCGATTAAACAAGACAAAAACATTTTTTTTTTCTAATTCTCAAATTGAAATGGATTAAAACTCAAAATTTGTCAAGAATATAAATAACATTTAACATAAACATAGAAACACATAATCAATTTAATATCAAATTTCACAAAGTCAAAAACATAAGACATGGAAAGTCATTGTTGAAGCAAAATTTTAAGGCTAGATTATCACAATAAATAACTAATCATCTTGATTATTTGATTTAAAAAAAATACAAATAAAAAATCAAAAATTAAATGTCAACATTTTAGTGATTTTGAGCATTTAAGATTCTATATTAATGATCAACAAACTTATAAGCATATGTAAAAATCAATAATTGATCAAAACAACATGGAAGTCATGGACCCAGAGCAATTTGTGTGCTAAAATTGAGAAAATATACCAGAATAAAGGCCTATGACCTATACATATAAGTAACATATATTCATTTACACATGCTTAAGCCTTAAAAAAAAAACAATAAACATGTAAACCTTAAAATGAATAGAATTCAAAACTTATAACCTACTATCAACATACAAGCATACACATATATTGTTTTTATCAATCCAAAAGCTCATTTAACATGAAAAAAAAATATTAACATCAAAATGACCTACATGAACTTTCAAAACTAAACAAAAACACTAGAATGACAAAGTATTGTTATATGTCCTATTTTTATATATAAGTATCAAACCATAACATATGCTTTTCATACATCAAGAATAAATATTCGAACATTAAAAACATATTATTCATCATTTATTAAACATTATAAAAACACCATATTAACAATAAGAATAAACAATCATATTACATCTTGCTTTTAAAGCAACTTGGAAATGTATGCAAAAACAACTAAAAAATATGATCAAATAAATTCAAAAGCATTATGATTAACACTTGAATGAATGGATCAAAGATTAAAATGGAGAGAAGTGGGGTATTATCAATGAGTTCTACCCTCCATCAAGTTGAGTAATTCACCTTCAAGAGACGATTGTAACTAATTTTTGTCTTTTTTGCTTTATTTGAATAGATTCAAGTAGCTCCTTCAAAGCTATTTTGATCTTTTTCTTCACGGTATCATCTTTCATTTTTTTTCCTTATAATTTTTTCTTTTTTTTTGTTTGATTGGTTTTCTCTTAATACTTTTTCTTTTTTTCATGGTTTTTTTTCTCCCTTTTAATCTCCTTTGAGCTTCAAAAGACACCTTTTTTATAGCTTAAAAAAGACAAGTGGTTGTGAAATCATTTGTGGGTTTAAAGATAGTTTTTCAAAACTAGATCACAGGGGATTATTTTTTATTTTGCCTCTGATATGTTAGGGGACCACTCTCCTCTCCTTTTCTTTTGTTTTCCTTCTCTTTGGTTCTTTTTAAACCCCCAACCTAAAATTGATAAATCAGTGCTAAAAATAGTAAATTTTGATTGAGAAATGATAATTAAAAAGAAAATTGTTATAAATAGAGATAAATTTTTTTAGTAATTTAACTTAAATTTCAGATGAAATAAAGTAATAAAATTGGCACACAGATTGTTAATTAGTGATAAATTGTATAATCTTCTCAGTCATGTAAAATAATTTTTTTCAAAAGGAGATTTGTTTATATATTTAGAGTGTAAATACTTAGAAAGAATATAGAATGAAATTCCAAATAAATTCATGTGTGACCTTACATGCAACAAACATTGATTATTGATATAAACAACATGTATAATCATGCTATTTGACTAAAAATAGTAAAAACTCTTAGGAATATTTTATTATGATCATAAATGGGAGTCTCTAATGAATTTATTTAGAAATCATGATGATTTAAGTAAATAAAAAAGTACACACAATTTAGATTTTTGGTGTAAAATTACTTAATGTCCAGTTTTATTGTATTAAGCATATAATTCAACCTGACTATTGGATTAAAATGAAATTTTATGTGGATTTTCTGAACCTATTATTCAATTTTGTGTTAAATGTTTAGGTCGATTAGAGTTTGATAAGGTATTGAAATGGTACAATGGTTAAATAAAAATATATAAAATGATATCTGGATTAAGTAGTGATATTTTTGTAAAACAAATTCAAGTAACCGCTTTCTCTATATGTAAAGTTAGAATGTTCAATAACTAAAGCTTAAGAGAAAAGACAAAAGGGTTGGTGCTAAAGAAGTCATATATGTGCCTTCCACTATCAAATTAGACCGAGTTTTAGATATGTTGTGTAACAGTCTCAAACTTGTAAACTCAAATTATATGATATATATTCATAGTTATCAATTTTTTTTTATCTATATATTTTTCTAAAATTTTGGCAGAGTTTTCTTTATATTATTTAGATACTAAGTTATTGACCAATCATTTCAAAACTTGTAACATTGATACAACCAAAAGATTGATATCTTCTCCAAAGTGCAAGAGTGTCGAAGTAATAAATAACCCGACAAGACCGGGGTCGAATCAGAGGACGGTTAACTGTATAAATTACAGATAATAATAATACAACAACAATAACAATAATAATATTAGTAGTAATAATAGTAGTAGTAGTAGTAGTAGTAATAATAGGCCAACCAGGGTCTTTATATTTCAATGTATTATTATTCTGAAGATAATAATAATATAACAAATAACAACAATAGTAGTAGTAGTAGTAATAATAATAATAATAATAGGCAAAATAGAAAACTAATTTATAAATTCCACAAAGCAAGGTATTCATCATTCAATTTCCATTAATCTATCCATAGTCTTTATATTTCAAAGCATTATTGTTTTGAAGAATAACACTTACTTGTTAAGTTAAAAAGTCTTTCTTTTCACATTCAGTTTTCTTTTCACAGTGCACTGATCTTTTAAAAATTTAGCATAAAAAGGAACATGTTTAATAGCATCCAACAAAGGTATATTGATCCTTAGCTATTTGAAAGTTTCAAAGATTTTAGAGTTGTGATTGATTTTTTTTTATTTGGTCATGACACAATATATTTTAATTGACCACTCCTTTTTAAATGTTGATAGGGAATTAGTCTTTTCTTTGTAATTTTCAGATCAACCCCTTCCTTACCCTCAGAGATTGACTCATCATCTTTCTCATAAGGTTCAAGAGAGGGTTTTTCAATAACCTTACCACTGCGCAGAGTAGTGACTGATTTGACTTGATCCATATGTTGGCTTCCGGAACTACTTGCATTTGCATTGTATTGCCCTTTGGGATTTTGTTGTGTTTGAGATGGAAACTTACCTTTCTCTTGGAAACTAAGAGCAGATGTTAATTTAGCAAGAGTATCTTTAAAATCTGTCATGTTTTGAGCAAGTTGAGTATTGATTGTCTCTTGCTTTTCAATGAATGCATGCAATGTTTCCTCAAGATTTCTTCTAGGAGGTGGAGCATAAGGAGGTGCATATCCATGAGAATTTTGGAAATTATGGTAAAATTATTGTGTGCTTGAAATCGTGGTTGTGAAGTTTATGCATTGTCACTTTTCCAACTGAAATTTGAGTGATGTCTCTAAC